GGCCAATAAGAATCACTTCAGATTTCTCAGTACAAACTCTACAAGGCAATGGGGCTGGGAATGGTGTGTTCCAGGTCCTGAAAGAAAATAACTATCAACCAAGACTGCTGTATTCAGCAAAACTATCTTTCAAAATTGAAGATGAAATAAAAGCCTTCCAGGATATTCAGAAACTACAAGAATTCATGAATACCAAACCAGTACTACAGAACTTACTTAAAGAAATACTCCACAGAGGAAAAAAAAAATCAAAAACCAACCTCAGAACACACAAAACAACAAATCTCATGTGAAGAGTAGCTAAGCAAATGAGAAAGAGGACCAAATTAACTGTGATGAACAAACCAAAATGGAAGGAAATTATAAACATCTCTGTATAATAACATTGAATATAAATGATCTTAACTCTTCAATTAAAAGACAGGCTGGAAGAATGGATTGAAAAACCAGACCCAACTTTGTGTTATTAGCAATAGACACACCATACAGGAAAAGAGATACACAAGCCAAAAGGATGGAATTTGATACACCCTGCCAATGGGGCCCCAAAACAAACATGAGTAACCACTCTCATATCTGACAAAGCAGACCTCAAACTGAAATTAATCAGAAGATACAAAGAAAGTCACTTCATATTGGTACAGGGAGAAATCCAATAAGAAGATAAAACAATAATAAACATTTATGCCCCAAATATGGCTGCAATAAATTACATAAAAAATGCTAATCAAATGAAGCCCCAGATAGACCTCAGTGCACTAATGCTGGGTGATTTTGAAACACCTCTCATGATTAGAGTGGTCATCCAAAAGACTCTTTGGACCTTAAAAAAATTAGGTTCAAATGAACTTAAAAGACATATTTAGAGTATTTCATCCAACAATAGCTGAATACATACTCATGGAACCTTCTCCAAAACAGACATTTTAGGCTACAGTGCAACACTTAAAAAATACAAAAAAAATTGCAGTAATTGTTTGCATCTTATCAGATCAAAATAAAATGAAATTAAAAATCAACACGACAATACCCTATATAATCACATGGAGTATGAACAATACTCTTTTGAATGATGAAATGACTATGGAAGAAATCAGGGGAAAAATTACAAATTATTAGTTTCAAGTGAGAATAGTGATACAACATACCAAAATCTCTGGGACACTATGAAAACAGTTCTAAGAGAAAAGTTTATAGCTATGAGTGTCTACATAAGAAAATCAGAAACATCCCAAATAAACAACCTAATGATGCATCTCAAGGCTTTGGAAAAAGTAAAACAAACCAATTCAAAAACCAGTAAAAGGAAGGAAATAATTAAGATCAGAGCCAAAAATCAATGAATTTGAGAATAAAACACAATGCAAAGGATCAATGACAAAAAGTTGATTCTTTGAAAAGATAAACAGGATTGATAAACCTTTAGCCAAACTAACCAAAACAAGAAGAGAGAAAACCCAAATTAACAAAATTAGAGAAGAAAAAGGAGAAATCACCACAGACATCTCAGAAATCCAGCAAATCATTAGGGACTATTTTAAAAACTTGCATTCCAGTAAACTGGAAAACCTAGAAGAAGTAGATACATTTCTGGACAAATATGATCTCTAAAATGGAATCAAGAGGACATAGAAAACCTAAACAGACCAATAACTTGTAATGAAATACAAACAGTAATAAAAAAGCATTCCAACAAAGAAAAGCATAGGACCAGAATTATTCTTGACTGAATTCTACCAAAATTTTATAGAAAAACCAATGCCAATTCTTCTCAAATTATTCCATGAAATAGAAAGTGATAAAATACTTCCAAATTCATTCTGTGAAGCCAGTATCACATTTATACCCAAAACACATAAGGATATATCAAGGAGAGAAAACTACAGACCAATATCCCTGATGAACTTAATCATATATTAGCAAATTATGCTCAACATAATTATGCTTAATTCATCACATAAATAGAATTAAGGGCAAAAATCACTGTAATATCAATAGATGCAGTAAAGGACTTCAACAAAATTTAGAACCCATTTATTATAAAAACACTGAAAAAACTAGGGATAGAAAGAACCTACCTCAACATCATAAAGGCTATATGTGAAAATCCCAAAGCCAACCTCATAGTAAATGGGGAAAAACTGAAAGCATTTCCTTTAAAATCTGTGACAAGTCAAAGTAGAAATTCTAGCCAGAGCAATTAGTTAAGAGAAGGAAATTTTAAAAGAAGGAAGTAAAATTGGAAAAAAAAAATAGGAAAGGAAGAAGTCAAATTATCACTCTGTGTAAATTGTATGATCCTATACATAGAAGATCCAAGGAACTGGTAGAGCTAATCAACAAATTTGGCAAAGTAGCAGGTTACAAAATCTACATAAAAAATCAATAGCTTTCCTATATAACAACAACAAATCTACTGAAAATGAAATCAAAAAGACAAAATTCCATTCACAATAGTCTCAAAAAACTGCAAATTTACCTAGGGGTATATCTAATCAAGGGGTGAAAGACTTTTACAACAAAACTATAGAATACTGAAGAAAGAAAATGAAGATGACCTCAAGATGAAAAAACCTCCCATGTTCATGGATAGGCAGAATTAATATTGTCAAGATAGCCATGCTACCAAAAGCAATATACAGATTCAGTGCATTTGGAAGAATAAAAAACTCAGAAGAGCAAAATCAATTCAAAGCCCCAAAAAGTAAGGCTGAAGGTATCACAATACCTAACTTCAAATTATAGTACAGAATTATAGTAACAAAAAAACTGCATGGGACTGGCATAAAAACAGACATATAGACCAATGGTGCAGAGAGAAGACACAGAGAGAAATCCAAACTACTGAACAAATGAGCCCATTGGCTGATCCTGCAGTGTAGGCAAAAGCCAAGCCTGAGAAAACATTCCTTGTCAAAGGCAGGATGTATGAAAAGCCTTGACACTGGGCTCTGACATCAGTAGTTATCAAATGTTCCAGTAGAGTGGGTTTCCTGAGTACAGCAGGATAGCCACGGGATATTCTTAACAGCATAAAAGCAGGATAGCCCCAAATGTTTTAGCTTTATAACTTTTTAGTGCACAAAGAAGCCTCTTGATAACTCACAAGTCTTGAAAAATGTACAAAGCTTCTGTAGTTGAACTTCCTGATGATGAGACCCTATATAATAAACTTGCCAAACTCATTGTGGGTCATTGTTCCTCCCTCTAAGAACAGTGTCCCACCTGGCCCCAGCTTTGCTTAAAAATGTCTGTTTTACTTTGTCTCTGTGTTTTTCTTAGTCTCCTATCACCCCTCCTCAAGATCCTTTGTTGTTGTTGTGCTGGTCATGGCACCATACACCTTTAGTCATCAGGTCCTTGACAAAGGTGCCAAAAGGTTGGAGAAAGGACAACCTTTTTCAACAAATGGTCCCCGGAAAATTGGTTATCCATATGTAAAAGCATTGAACTAGACCCTTATCTCTCACCCTGCACAAAAAATTAACTCTTTATGGATCAAATACCTATGAATTAAATGAAAATTCTGCAACTCCTAAAAGAAAATATAGGGTCACAAGCAATAACTTTCTTAATAGGACCTCTAAAGCTTGGAAAAAATAATGCCAAGAGTTAATAAATGGGATAGCATTGAATTTACAACCCCTATGGAAATAAGTATGGAGGTTCCTCAAGACTAGGGATGGAATCACCATATGACCCAGCTATACCACTTCTTGTTATTTATCCTGAATAATTAAAGTCTTGCAGTGATATATGCATACTCATGTTTGTAGCAGCACATGTCACAATACCTAAGCTATGGAACCAGCCTAGGTGTCCATCAATGATGAATGGATAAAGAAAATGTGGTATTTTTACACAATGGAGTTTTATTCAGCCATAAAGAAAGAGGAAATTATGTAATCTCCAGAAAAATGGATGGAATTAGAAACCATCATGTTAAGTTAAATAAACTTATTTAATGTTTAGTTAAATAAACTCGTGTTAATAACCATCGTGTTAAGTTAAATAAACTCAAAAGTTTGAGGGCCATATGTTTTTTTTTTTCTCATATGTGGAAGCTAGAGAGGAAAAAGGAAAATAAAGGTGGGATTGGTCTCCTAAAAACCAAATGGAGAGTAGTAAAGGAATGAGACTAAGGAGTGAGAGGTAGGGAGGGAGGTGGGACATAGTGGGGAGTGATATTGGCCCAATTGTGTTGTCATATTATGTGTGTGTACAAATATGTAACAATATATCCTATCAATATGTCCAACTATAATCAACCTATTAAAAATGAGGAAAAAAAGAAATACAAAAAAATCACATTTTTGGATCTGTGATTTTTATCTCAAAAAATAAAATTACATTTGCCTAAAAAAATTTCAGGAGTAAATGTACAATTTACATATCAGTTTTCTACTCTCAGCATCCCACCAATAAAAGGAGGATATAATAGACAAACAAACAATAAATCAATAGTTCAAGTGATTTGATTAGGCCCTTATTACCTCCCTTTCAATTAACTCAAACCAAGTAAACTTAATTATATCTGCAAGTTCATTTTGCCATTAAGTTAACATTATCATGAGTAACTCCCCATCCTATTTCCAGATCCTGCCCCAGCTTACAGGAAGAAGCTTATAAAGAACAGGTGCACTGGGGCGTGGGATCTTGACGACCACCTTAGAATTCTGCCCATCATTGTTTCTATGTGTGTGTGATTGGAAAAAAAAATTCTCCCTGAAAGTTATGAATGGAATTCAGGGTAGTCCCCGAAGCCCTCATCATACTTTCCACCTCCTACAGAAAGCAGAGATCACAAAAGAAGGTGGATCCAAAATGAGAATCTGTCTGCATTTCAACTATTGATAAACATACATCTGCTTCTGTGCATTTCTTAATGGCCAAATATTGAGCAACTTTGGACCATCAGATTCCAAAGAGATAGAAATGCAGAGGCTCAGTGATAATTCTCTAGTGGACAATGTTTTCTAACTCTCTGATTCTTTGCATAGTATGACATCGCTGGACACTCTGGAGATGACTACAATATTGCACTAGTTTCAATTAACAAAATCCCCAAGAACAACAAAGACTAGAAATTCTAAAGGTAAATATGTTGTTATCTCTATACTGTGAAAACTTCTATCTGATTAGCTAAAGACTATATAAAAAGATTCACTGACGAAGCAGTAGATATTAGAAAGAAAATGATGTTCTGTTTCACAAACTTTCAAGTTGTAAACAGAAAACACCCATGAGACCTCAAACCCTTTTCTCCATCATCCAAATTTGAATTTTGCTCTGTGCATATTTTTAGAGTACTCAGTATTGGATTGGGATTATGCATCTCAGTATTGCATTGGGATTCTGTAACCTGTGACTCCTCATATATGCTACATGTTCAGTAGAAGGAAAAGAATGATCCCTTGTAGAGTACTAATTTATGCTTTTCTTAGTATCTTATAATAATAAATTTAATTGCACATACTTCAATCTGCAAGAAAAACATGCATGTAATGATTTAAAACAAATTTCCTCCATTGCTACTGATGTAAGTACAATATAACTTTATTGGAAATTTAATCCATTCCTTATTTTTCACCCATGTGATACAAATTCTTATACTTTCTTACATTTTCTCACTTTAAATGGAAACTTTAATTTTAAAAGTAATTGTCAACAGTGATAGTTTGGAACATTTCCTTCTTTCTAACAAAAGTCTACCAAATGCAAATATTACTGTGTACTGTTGTTACTCTGATGTGCAAGTTAAATAAACTTGCTCAGAAACCTGTTACTGACTTGTAATAATTAGCTTTTATGCATTCACACAGTCAATAGAAAAACCATCCTGTTTGTTCAAAGAAGCTTATCACCCCTGACTTTTGCTCTGACTCTTTCCTCCAGACAATGCATGCCCACTCTCAGTTCTGCATGAGTAGAGACCACACATTAATGGGGACAGAACATGCTATCAAGGAAATTGTCAAAGAAGAGGCTGATGAATACTTTGTCATAGTCTTAAGTGATGCAAATCTGTCACGATATGGAATAAAACCTGCCACATTTGCCCAGATCCTTACAAGTGACCCTCAAGTAAATGCTTTTGCCATTTTTATTGGATCATTGGGTGATCAAGCAACCAGGTAAGTGTCATCTCAGGACACTGCAAAAGGCAGGCATAGATAGAATGAGTGCCTGTGTTTTAGTCAGCTTTTTTTGCTGCTATGACTAAAAGATCTGACCAAAACAATTTTAGGGGAGGAAAAGTTTATTATAATGGACTCATGATTTCAGAAGTCTCAATCCATAGCTCAAGGTGAGGCTCAATGTCATGGTAGAAGAGAGTAGCAGAAGGGAGCAGCTCACATGATCAGAAAGCAGAGAGATTCCACTCACCAGATACAAATATATACCCCCAATCCCTTCCCCATGCCCTACTTCCTCCAGCCACACTCCACCTGTGTCCAGTTACCACTCAATTAATCCCAGTAGGTGATTAATTCACTGATTGGATTAAGGCTTTTATAGCCATTTCTTCTCTGAACCTTCTTGCATTGTCTCACACATGAGCTTTTGGGGGGAAACCTCACATCCAAACCATAATAGCCTGACACATGCTGTCTGGTGGAATGAGCACCAGAGGGGAACTGAGTGAGGGACATATAGGAAAAACAATCTAGAGATGCCACTCAAGAGTTTGCAATCTAACTGAGGAGATGTGATGTTTTAGCTTATGTTTAGAGAAGCGATCATAAATTTAAATTTAAATTAACTGTTTTTCAGATTATGTTTAAACTAACAAACTAATTATCAAATTGGTTTGTTCATTAATGTTAGATAATATTTTATGCATTTGGCATCTTGTATCAAGGTCCCAAGCATAGTCTCATCAGTTTGTGTCCAAATCATATTCAAAATAGTGAATATGTTAGTTTTCTTGGCATAAGACAAAATGTGTATATTTGTGTCTAAGTATTTTATATGTAGACATATATATATAGACATGTAGACATACATACATGTATCTCCACATACTTGATTCTCTAATAAGTGATATAAATGTATATATATATGTGTGTGTGTGTGTGTGTGTAAGTATCCATAGATATGCCTATGTATGTGTGTGTGTATTTATACACATATATCTGCGTGTGTGTGTATATGAGTGTGTGTGTGTGCGTGTGTGTGTCCACTATTACTGGGCAGACAAAGCAGATGAAACACTTGGAAACCAATTAAGACACCATATATAGTTATATTCTACACTAAATATTCTGAATGTTCACTGAAGAAATTTATGGTCAAACAGTAAATACCACTGAGGATGATCTAAAAGGAAAGATCTGGGGAAGCTTTCATAACTTAAATGTACTTATCTTTTAACATTTATCTTTTTGAATGACAAACCAAAATAGCTCGTATTTCTCTACATATAATATTTATAAAAAACAGAAAACACAGGTAAAAGTTTATCTGCTAAAACTAACAAAAAAACAAAACTAAACAAAAAATCTTCCTGAGCCCCAAAGGGCCTGTCTTTCCTATTTCTCCTCTTTAACCTGTCATGCTCTGTGATTCAGAGACCATGAACTAGGAAAGGTTTTAGTATCCTGCATGCTGACGTCTTCCATCACCTTGCTACAGAATTACTGAGGAAGGTAAAGAATAGACAATATTGTGTCATCACCATCACTTTAATACAACTGACTTTTATGCATTGGCACTTTGCACCTTCTTGTCCTTGAAAGCAAACCATGCTTTTCCTAGTCCTGTTTTTCTCAGCACAGCCCAGTATTAGGCAGATAGCAAACACTAGTTGATCTGAAATGGCTACTTTGTCTTCTAGTAAACAGATCCTGTTTGAATACTTAAGGAAGCACAATAATACCCTTGTGATTTCCTAGGGAAATGGTCCAAAGCCACTGGCAAAAGATATGTTGCAGAATTTTCTGGTTTGCCAGGCATGCCAAATGGATGATACTACACAGGATGGCTGACTTTTATGAAATGTCATTCCAAAACCAGACTCCGTTGCCACAATGAAAAGAGGCATTCCTTTGAATAAAATTTTATCTTGTGGTTTTATTACCTTCAAAAATGTTCTTTTGTTCCAAGTAATAAGTTAGTATTTTTTAAAATTGCTATAAGCTTATATAACCTCAGTATTATCAAAGCAGCAGTTGGAAAAACCAGACTGCAATACACATTTGTGTGAGTTGAGCCAAAAAAGGAGAGGAGGGTGGAGAAAAAATAAAACCACTCAGGATTTGGCTGGGCAAAATTCTTGGAGCCCTGTTTTCTAGAAGGCAAAGCATTTAGATGTACAGTATCAGGCCAACACATTTGCTGAACCCAGGTGAGCTAATTCTAGTTGGGTCCCTAGGGCTCTGTTCTACTAAGGAAATATGCAATAGCAGAAAATAACAGTCATGAAAAGGAGAATTTTTTTTTTCCTTTCCACATCCACTCGTTTTCTTACTGCAAGGACCTTCCTTATGGTTTATTGCTTTTACTCTCTCTCTCTCCCTGTTGCTCTTCCAGGCCTTTCATTGTTTAGTGACAGCCAGTTAAATTGCAGGCAGTAAGCAAGGTATTAGAAAGTAAAAACTTCCTTTCCTACCACTTAGATATGATTTGCCATGGAGGAAGATGGAAAGGGATCCTCAATTTGTAATTGTAACTTTCTTTTCCTTCCCCTCCTGGCAGGCTCCAGAAAACTTTACCAGCTGGCAGGTCTTTCATTGCCATGGATACCAAGGACATCCCTCAGATTTTACAACAGATCTTCACCTCCACAATGTTGTCAACTGTTTAAGAAATGCCCTCCACTGCATAACGACCCCGGGATTTAAAACAAGAAAAAGGAATGTTCTAAAGAGAAGACATCTGTAAAGCAAACCCATGCAATGACCATATAATTCTAGCATTGCTTGCTTCTTCCTACACTGACTCCATAATCAGGATTCAGAAAAGCAGCCAGAAGCAGACTTGTGCCTGTAAATCTCCAGCCACTGATGGGTTTAGAAATCCTCAGTGGGAGCAAGTTGACCTTCATATAATGCAAGGTCATGGTTAAAGGAAATTGGCATGAGAACTACAGTGTTTGGACTGTTTCAAAAACCTGAGAGGTAAAGAATCCTTGCTTTTGCCTTAACACATCATCCGTCACCTAAGATAAGAGAAAAAACACCATCACACTGAAACTCTGAGACCATGGTCTGACATTGGGATCAAGTCTGTGCAAACCCCACCCAACATGCTGCTGTCTCATAATTATTTTTATTTTCTCCCTGCTCTGGATTGTCTAGCAAACAATAGTTTTATAGTATTTAACCCACTGAAAAGACCTTCCAACAGCAATATTTTATAAAAAGTTGGATTTTCTCAGTAATTCCATTTTCTTGGCCAAAGCCAAAAGAAATCAGGAGAGCCTTAGAATGCTTGATTTCCTAGGTGACTTTTAAAAGGCTCTTTGAATAATAAAGAACAAATGTCCTGTTCTCCCTGCCACCACATGGAAGAATAAAGATATCTTGTGTGAAGTTTCCTGGTTCTTCTTGTCTTTCTAGTGCTTCTCAAAAGTTTCACACTACTCTGTTTTGGTGTTCAAAGCACAATGCTCAAAATAACAGATGCTTGTAAGAGATTATCTATTGAGAACATTCATATAAAAATTACTTAATAAAATATAAAAGGCATTATATTTGAACTAAATGGTGATTGGGCATTTCTTTAGCTGAAGGAGAAATCGAGGAAGGGGAAGAAGGAAGAAAAAAAATTCTCCTTTTCATGACTGTTATTTTCTGCTATTATATATTTCCTTAGTAGAAAACTAAGAAAAAAAATTCTCCTTTTCATGACTGTTATTTTCTGCTATTGTATATTTTCTTAGTAGAAAACTTAAGTTCTTAAAAAAATAATAACAATGTGTCAAAATGCATTCTACTGACATTATAACTAATTAGAATAAATAAAAAAGAATCAAAATAAATTAATTAAAGACACAAAGCCTTAGAGAAGCTCAACTCAAGAAAATCAGCCATGCTCAGAGGCAAGCAGGGACACCGAGTGGACTAATGCTTATGGCCCTCTCACCCCATACCTCATGCTGCTGCTTATAGACCTACGTGTATATCTTGCTTCCACTGCCTAATTCTCATTTCTTTTAGTCCAGTATCCTTTCTATAACTGGTCCACATTCATAGAGCCAATTTCTTTTCCCTTGTCTTTCAAAAACTGTATCTAAACACATTCACGCAATTCAGAGGACATGGGGCACTGCTGGGAGACATTTCTAACTTCTCCTAACTTGCTGGGCACAGCAGTAAAGCTGAGGAACTGCCCATCTGAATGGCAGCTTTATTCCCAGGGATTCCCCTTTGCTAGTGGGTTCCTGCCTCTTTATCAAACCTTCTCCATGCATAATTACTTGAGTGAACAAAAGTCATACTTTTGAAAACATGGAAAGAATGTTCTAAAGTAATTTCACAACATGATTTGTGAAATGGAATGGGTGAGCAGATGGACGATGGATGGATAAATAAAAAATTGCCTGGGCAGGTGGATGAGTAGAAGAAAAAAATCTATCCTGTTTAGTCAGATATCTATTGCAATTGTTGTTTAAAAAAAAGAAAGAAAGAAAATAAAAAACAATAGAGCACCTGGATTTTCTTAGGCTTTTTTTAAAAATTTTAATTAGGTATATATGACAGCAGAATGTATTTTGATTCCTTGTACACAATTGCAGCACAATTGTACAAGATGTAGCATCGCACCATAATGTGCAGTTATACATGCAACTAGGGTAATGATGTCCATCTCATTCCACTATTTTTCCTACCCCCATGCCCCCTCACCACCTTTCCCTCCCCTGTGCCCCATCAAAGTTCCTCTATTTTTCCCATGTTCCCCCAATTACAGATCAGCATCAACTTATCAGAGAGAACATTCGGCCTTTGGTTTTTTGGGATTGGCTTGCTTCACCTAGCACGATATTCTCCAACTCCATCCATTTACCTGCAAATCTAGCTTTTCTTAATTTGTATTAGGGAAGAATGGTGGAGGAGGGAAGGGGGAATAAGATGATTTGTTTTCATTTCTTGCAATACCTAAGAAGTATGTGTATTTATTATTAAATAAATAAATAAAAGTCCAGATAAGAATTCTAAGCAGCCTTCTTCTCAGAACCTCCAGGGCAGACTTCTGGGCTGCCCAGCCACTGACCCTGGCCCTGACTGGAGCCCAGAGTAATGACGGTCAATAGAGAAATCCTCCTTACATGGAGCAACTTCATGATGTGGCTCTTCTCTTTAACTTGTTTATGTTTTTCCTCGAAAATGAGCTGAGAACCTTCTTTTTTTTTTAATTTTTTATTGTTGGCTGTTCAAAACATTACATAGTTATTGATATATCATATTTCACACTTTGATTCAAGTGGGTTATGAGCTCCCATTTTTACCCCATATACAGATTGTAGAATCACATCAGTTACACATCCATTGATTTACATATTGCCATACTAGTGTCTGTTGTGTTCTGCTGCCTTTCCTATCCTCTACTATCCCCCCTCCCCTCCCCTCCTCTCCCCTCTTCTCTCTCTGCCCCCTCTACTGACATTCATTTGTCCCCCTTGTATTATTTTTCCCTTTCCCCTCACTTCCTCTTGTATGTACTTTTGTATAACTCTGAGGGTCTCCTTCCATTTCCATGCAATTTCCCTTCTCTCTCCCTTTCCCTCCCACCTCTCATCCCTTGTCTAAAGAGAGAAATAGAAGAAGATCTTAGAAGATGTAAAAATATACCCTGTTCATGGATAGGCAGAACTAACATCATCAAAATGGCGATATTACCAAAAGTTCTCTATAGGTTTAATGCAATGCCAATCAAAATCCCAATGGCATTTCTTGTAGAAATAGAGAAAGCAATCATGAAATTCATATGGAAAAATAAATGACCCAGAATAGCAAAAACAATGCTAAGCAGGAAGTGTGAATCAGGCGGTATAGCGATACCAGACTTCAAACTATACTACAGAGCAATAATAACAAAAACAGCATGGTACTGGTACCAAAACAGGTGGGTGGACCAATGGTACAGAATAGAGGACACAGAAACCAATCCACAAAACTACAACTATCTTATATTTAATAAAGGGGCTAAAAGCATGCAATGGAGGAAGGATAGCATCTTCAACAAATGGTGCTGGGAAAACTGGAAATCCATATGCAACAAAATGAAACTGAATCCCTTTCTCTCGCCATGCACAAAAGTTAATTCAAAATGGATCAAGGAGCTTGATATCAAATCAGAGACACGCCGTCTGATAGAAGAAAAAGTTGGCTACGCTCTACATACTGTGGGGTCGGGCTCCAAATTCCTCAATAGGACACCCATAGCACAAAAGTTAATAACTAGAATCAACAAATGGGACTTACTCAAACTAAAAAGTTTTTTCTCAGCAAAAGATACAATAAGAGAGGTAAATAGAGAGCCTACATCCTGGGAACAAATCTTTACTCCTCACACTTCAGATAGAGCCCTAATATCCAGAGTATACAAAGAACTCAAAAAATTAGACAATAAGAGAACAAACAACCCAATCAACAAATGGGCCAAGGACCTGAACAGACACTTCTCAGAGGAGGACATACAATCAATCAACAAGTACATGAAAAAATGCTCACCATCTCTAGCAGTCAGAGAAATGCAAATCAAAACCACCCTAAGATACCATCTCACTCCAGTTAGATTGGCAGCCATTATGAAGTCAAACAACAACAAGTGCTGGCGAGGATGTGGGGAAAAGGGTACACTTGTACATTGCTGGTGGGACTGCAAATTGGTGCAGCCAATTTGGAAAGCAGTATGGAGATTTCTTGGAAAGCTGGGAATGGAGCCACCATTTGACCCAGCTATTCCCCTTCTCGGTCTATTCCCTAAAGACCTAAAAAGAGCATGCTACAGGGACACTGCTACATCGATGTTCATAGCAGCACAATTCACAATAGCTAGACTGTGGAACCAACCTAGATGCCCTTCAATGGATGAATGGATAAAAAAAATGTGGCATTTATACACAATGGAGTATTACTCTGCATTAAAAAATGACAAAATCATAGAATTTACAGGGAAATGGATGGCATTAGAGCAGATTATGCTAAGTGAAGCTAGCCAATCCCTAAAAAACAAATGCCAAATGTCTTCTTTGATATAAGGAGAGTAACTAAGAACAGAGTAGGGTCGAAGAGCAGGAGAAGAAGATTAACATTAAACAGGGATGAGAGGTGGGAGGGAAAGGGAGAGAGAAGGGAAAGTGCATGGAAATGGAAGGAGACCCTCAGGGTTATACAGTGGAGGGGGTAGAGAGAGAGGAGGGGAGGGGAGGGGAGGGGAGGGGAGTGGGGATAGTAGAGGATAGGAAAGGCAGCAGAACACAACAGACACTAGTATGGCAATATGTAAATCAATGGATGTGTAACTGATGTGATTCTGCAATCTGTATATGGGGTAAAAATGGGAGCTCATAACCCACTTGAATCAAATTGTGAAATATGATATATCAAGAACTATGTAATGTTTTGAACAGCCAACAATAAAAAATTAAAAAAAAAAGAAAATAAAATCTTAAGGCAATATATAAGGTCATATTATTTATTTATAAAAGGACATCAGTAATCCAATCAACTTTATTAAATTTTTGCTTTTGAACTGTCTTTTCATAAATAGACATAAATATGTCAATATTAAGTAACTTACACAACACCTATGACCTTTCATCAACTTCAGAAAAATTAGTATAATTGTCTTGCTCTTATTCTGCAGTTAGTCTCCAACTAAATCAATCTTGAGTTTCTTTCCAGCTTCTTAACTACTTAGGTTTAGACCAATCTATTAGAAGGTGTGTGAGATTCTTTGCTAGATCTTAAAGTAATCATATCCCTAATGCTTTTCATACACTAGCTACTTAATCTTCTTCACAGAGTAGGCAGAATAACCTTCCACTTTTTGTAAAGAAATGTTTCTTGGTTAAGAATTTTAACTAAGAGAAGAATTGGGCTACAATTAAAGCATGTGTGGAACATCTTTATAAAAGTTTAGTTTGTATAAAAAGTACTCTTGAATTGCTAATTTTTATACAGTGGATGTCACATGCATATATTTTAAAATGTACTTTTACCAAAAAATGAGAAAAAATATTTCCATTTCTTACATTTAGATCTTGAAGAAAGTAAATGAACTTTCTGTTTTAAATTGAATTCTTTGTTCTTATCTCTTGTAAATGTGTGCAAGTCACTTAGACTTTTACTGAATCAGCCTGAACTTCAAAAATGTAGATAACAATCATATCTATTTCATATTTTATTGGGAAAATAAAATGAGCAATATATACTTAGTACATTGTAAATTCTACAGTGTTGAGCAAATTGCCCATTATATGCTTGTATCTATGTGTATAGAAAACCATGTATTTTACACAACAAACAGAAAATGTGTGCTGTCCTGTTAGTACAATGCACAATACATGTTCCATGGTCAAAAGGTA